GCACACACTGCAGAGAGAGGTACGCACACACTGCAGAGAGAGGTACGCACACACTGCAGAGAGAGGTACGCACACGCGCACACACTGCAGAGAGAGGTGCACAGTCCCTTAAAGTCGCTTATCTACAGGTATTTATAGAAAGAGAAATGATGTGATGTGTGTGTGTGTGTGTGTGTGTGTGCGCGCAGTATGAAGACACACAGTCTCAGCTGTTGGACCTCCGTCAGCGTTACGAGAGAACAGAGAAAGAGAAGCTGAACATCCACCAGGAGCTGGAGCAGTGCAGGAGCAGCCTGAAGCTGCTGCAGGACAAGCCCAGCTCCGTGAGTACACGCACACACTTCCTTTTGAATATTACCAAAGAGCTACTTGTGTTGTAACCTTTATTCCTGTGGTTGCTCAGCTTTAAATCAAGATGTTTTCATGATGTCATTTTTCCCCCCAGTTTTAGATTATTTTATTTTTTGCGTAAAGATAAATGCAGGAGAAGCACCAGACTTGCTGCTCATGGGCACTGTGGCAGTGTCGGACTTGCTAGCCGTAACCCACCCAGCCCCTCGGGTTCACAGCCTCCCTCCTCACTGCTTACTTAATAACTCTGGAGGCAAAATGAGTCTCACCAATCAGTGTTGTTTGAAATTGAATGAGACGTTCAGTCCTGTTCACTAACAAAGAGGACTGATGATCAATAATGTCAACAGGATGTAATAGTAGTGATGAGTAACCACGTCATCGTCTCACCTGACTCTCCACTCTGAGCTGATCAATAGCAGCTGTTAGTTTAACCTCAGAGAAACTCAAATCAGAAGACGACAGCGAGGCGGAGCAGCCTCTTCTTCCTCCTCCTCTATTACCCCTCTTCCTCCTCTCCTCTCTCATCCTCCTCTCCTCTCTCATCCTCCTGTCTTCAGCTCTTCCTCCTCTCATCCTCCTGTCTTCAGCTCTTCCTCCTCTCATCCTCCTGTCTTCAGCTCTTCCTCCTGTCTCCAGCTCTTTCTCCTCTCTTTCATCCTCCTGTCTCCAGCTCTTCCTCTTCTGTCTTTTGTTGACGTGGCAGAAGGTGTTCGTCTTGTTCCTCAGGCTTTGTTTCCTCAGAGGTTCTTTTTCAGATTAAAAGTCCTGATCCACAGATTCACAGGACCAGATCAACAAACTTTTTGAAAAAGGATAATTCCTGTTTATTACAACTTTCTGTCCTATTTTCATAGTCCTGTCCATCATTTCCTCCAGTTCATTCATGCTCTCATAGAGTTAATAGCTGAGAAACAGATATTCAGATTAGAAACAACCCTCCAGGTTAGATTCATTTATTTGAGTCATAATAACTTTATCAGACCTTCTTCCTGCTTCAACTTTGACCTACCGTACTTACTGTAGTTGTGCACACCCAGTTTTCCTGTGCATTACTACTAATTAGCTGGATTAGTCAAGTGTATCCACCATCAAGAGACTGATGTGTGGAGTTGGTGCAGTTCTCCTTTAAGAAGCTACCAGTGTGGATTTTGATAAAAGAAAAATAGTGTTTTTACATGCGTCCTGTGTTTTTAGTACTGATAGAAATGATGGACCAGACCATGAAAATATGACTCATGTTGAAATAACAGTCCATTATTTATCTGCACCGGGCAATACATGAATTGGCACCTTTTTGTCTAGCATTTTTATTTATTTTTGTTAAATTAAAGATCATATTTTTGTTATATTGACTCTTATTACTGGTCTACAGATCAGTTTCCGGTGCTAATGAGACGTCCTGGTGTAGAGAGTTAATGAGCTGAAGTCCAACCGGAAAAATGTTGCTGTTTTTAAAACGAGCCTGGTGACAGATGGCACTTCTTCTGTGGTGTTTTGGCGAATGTGGCTGTTGAATGTCTAGAAACGGCGGTGTTGCTTTGTAGAAACGGCCGATAAGATACAAACACCCCCCCCCCCCCACCCCCGGCTCTCTCTCGGTCTCTCCTTCTCTCTCTCTGTCTCTGTCTCTCTCTCGGTCTCGTTCTCTCTCTCCCCCCTCGCTGTAGCTGCTCCATCCTCCATGTTGGTTTTGGTTGATTTGCCGGCTGATATCTTCTCTGATATCTTCTTATCCCTCTCCTCCCTCCCTCCCCTCTAGCCATCCATACTGCAGCCTGTCCAAGCCATATTCATTGGCCTTGTCCTGGCTCTGCTGTACTGGTGTTTCGGCCAGTTGTGGTAGAAAGGTACACACCGACATGACACCAGTCTGTCTCTCCGTCTGTCTCTTGTTTGGCCTCCATCTGTCCGTCATCTGTGGAAGGAAAGGTGATGAAGGTGAAGACATCGTCCTGATCTGTGATGAATTCAGGGTCTCGTTGAGAATTAAAACCTGTCCACTGAGATCAGTAAAGTTTTAATAGTTATGTTATTATTCAAATAACGGCCATGTTCCTGACCTTTAACCTTCAGTGCTCCTGTAAGAAATAGTTAATTTTAATGCCATTTTTGTGGAATTATCCACATGAAATTACTTTTGTTTTAGTTCTGGTGAGATGTGTCAGGACAATATTGAAAGACAATAAAAACAAATAAATCCTAATCATTGCAAATAATAAAGTTGCCAAGTCTTTAAATCTTTCCTTAAAAAAGTAATTCCTAAATATGAAAGTCTAAAATTGTTCTATTTTTTATTTATATTGCTAAAAGCAAAAGCAGTTAAGTGTTGAAGTTTAATATCCAGCTCCCAATGTTGTATATTATTTACTATGAAGGTAAAGCAGTAGTTTGGTGGAACAAACAAACGTGTGTAACAGTGTAATGTTTTACACATGTGTAGCTGCTGCACAGATGAAAGCTCTAATAAAAATATACTTGTTTTTTATCCTTTCATAACAACATTGTCAAAAGAGACGAGCGGATCAGGTTGAGGTCACTTGGGTTTGATTTTTTTTAAGCTTATGTTTATTATTAAATGCATCTCTGTGTAGACTGCTGTTACTGAAAGGTTTTAAGTGTTGGACCCTGAATTCTGATCAGCAAGACGTATCCTCGCCTCCTTCCCTTTAAGACCGAGTATCATCCTCGTCATCGTCGTCTTCATGGTGGTCTGTGTTTGTCCTCCTGTGTGAGCAGCTCTAACTTGCATGGCTGTCGGTCACACTTCTTCTGCTTCTGCTCTGCCGACACTAAACTCTGCTCTTTAAAGGGACCGGCTCCCACGCACCTCACCGCCGGCAGACATCTTTAGTTTCATCATCTTCAAGGGAACATTAGTCCTCCGGCTCCGACAAGAAAAACTCTCTGAGTTGAAAGTTTTAATTTGGTTTAAAATGTGAGCAGTTGATCTTTCCTGTAGGCGTCATCGACATGAACCTGTGTAAACGGCTCAACAGGAAGCTCACACTTTAAGTTGTTCTCTATTTTCTTGAGCAGTGTTTCCGCTGCATGGTTCTGGCTCTGCTGCTTTGGTACCAGGACACTCGGTGAATCCTTTTAATCGACAACCAAACAGAGGAACGTCTCAACTTCCTCAGTTGTTTGTTGTAGTTTTGCAATAATAATCTGGGTCTCGTGACAATGCTCGAGGACCAGTCGGTGGTCTGCAGTGTTTTAACTCCACCCTCTCGTATCGGCTCAGCTCGTACTGAGGTGGCACCAAAACAAAGTACCAGGAGCTATCCACAACTTTTACTCACTGAAGTTTAAAGAACTGAACTGGAAGCACGGCTTTATTGTCAACGTGTTAGTTAGTCAGTCTCTCGGTGCTTTGACTACAGCTGGTCACTGTAGTTTTTATTAAACAGGAAGAAGTAGTGCTTCTGTTGGGGACTATTTTAAGCGGCGGATTAATCCACGTTTGGTGCTCTCGTGAGTATTTGTGGCAGCAGGACGGTGTGGGACTGATGGGGATGAATGGACAAGTCGCCCATCGTTGATGTGTTATAGTAGTTTCTAGAAAAAGACATTACATTACTTTTTTTAGGTTTTGTTCTAAATAAATATAAATATATAAATAAATATATAT